TAGAGCTGTGAATGCTCTTGATGGAGTTGAGACTGCACTTTTAGTAACTAGCATGGGTTTGGTGTTGCTGGTGATGGTTTATTGTCAACTATAATCACTGTGCCTATCGTACCTGGTATGGAAGTAGTGGCGGGAGTCTCTGGAGTGGCAGGAATAGCTCTTTAATTTTTTTCAAGCAAGGGATTCAATAAAATTCTCGTAACACAAGTGACATTAATGAAGATGAGAAAAACAAGTTCAAAGAACAAGCTCACCAAGCATTCCGTACCAAATTCAGAGATTAAGAATAAATTATTTCCTCGATATAGAGTGGCATCTTGATACATGACTATCATTGGATCGTCATCACATACTTAATAAAACATATCAGGAGCTGAACCTTGTCCAGGTGGTGTGGACCTGTACCCCTATCCTCTGTATCTGTACGACTCCAACCTCGATTTATGCATAATTAATTAAATGTTACCATTAATCGATTTCAATTGTGTGTTTTGATGTGTTTAACAGTTCCAAATTAATACTTTATGTATTTGACACCAAAGATGACCTGACACTTCATTTTTTTAAGGATCTGAAAATGTGGGTTGTTTTTTTTCTCTTCAGCAGGCCTAAGCAATGCGTTTCCTCTTTGATATATGATAATAAAAACAAACGTCTTTACCCTCCAACCACTATAGAGGGAACTTTTGCTTTGAACAGTAGTGTAGCATCGGAAATGTTGTTGCGCCACTTATTTTGCATTAGGCACTAAGAATAGATACTTAAGGCTAAGAGTAACATAAGGCTGTCTCGAGTATCCTTGTTTGGTCACAATAGCTGGCGTATTGATTGACTGAGATTGACACTAACTAATGAGAAGGCAAATCCCTATCAGTTTTTCTCTGCACAGAGGCGATCTACAATGTCCAGTTGTTTTGCCTGATCATGGCCTGTCAGAAATAACTAGAAGCTTTCTCAACCAGTTCCTCCAGTAAACCAAGTGAAAGACATTTGTCTGTTACTTTGATTTCGTTTGCTAATAATATCACATATTCTATCAATACGGTTACCTTTATCATATTCAATGTACGTACACAATTTCACCCATGTTTGAGCACTTAAAGATACATCTCGCTTGATAAATGCGTGTTTCTTCTTTGCTTTGAAGACGACTTTTTCCGGTGGCACACACGCACGTTGATATTAATTTTCTTTATTGTAGACACACGTCATCAATAAACAGTGGTTTCTCGCGAACGTTTGAAGTCAAGACGATGGTACGCAGGTGGCTATTAATAAATATGTTTACACACATGAATTTTGCATATACCACTGCATTCAGCTCCTACGTTCATCCGTTTATTGATCCTAAAAACCGGTTTATCTGTTCGCTGTATCGGAAGGTGATTTCCATCGCTAAATGTATCAAGTCTTAACGGATTAAGGTAACCCACATGTCTTATCTTGAAAGCTCTGGCATTCCACAAGAAATTAATCTAATATTTTACACGCAAATAACTTAGATAGATATGATTTTGCTTTGTCGTGTTTTCCATTATATAGGCACTGCGTTATCAATTATGTGAGGAGAACAATACATTTTCATTAACTTAAAGTATTTTCATATTTCAAATTTGTCTTGACGCCTTTGTTAACATGTTCAATGTCGTTTTCGCGAACACTGAAACCAAGAAAGCAAGAATACATATTTGATTATTTAATACTGATATCAATCAGAAATATCAGTGTGAACTTGATGAATCCCTTTGGCTCTCATCACGTCCAGTATGCTGAACAACACCCACAAGAATATATTATACGCACAATCATGAATGATGTTCCCTATCGACATGTTTATGAGAAAAGAGTTGATTTCTTCATCTGCTTAATGCCGGTCTTTATGTTACTAATAATCCAAGACTTATAATCTCTGACTACATGTTAGTTGACCTTTAGTTCTTTAACTTGTCCACCCTACACCTACATTGCTGCCATGCTTTCAAAATGAAATAGTTACTAAGTGGCGTGATATGTCATACTGTGTTCAAGAAACTAGTCGACAATCTGAGATAAAGAACTATTCCATACAGGAGCATACAAGTTTCCTTCTCATATGTCAGACAGAATTACTCTGTTAATGCTATCTTGATATTAGACATTCTGATACCTGAGAGTCAATGTAAAAAATAACGATCGTCTTGCAGGTAATAAAAAAGAATTGCAATATCTAAGTTCGTCATCACCTGAGCTGGAAACGTTGGATAAAAACTCGAATTTTCTCAACTTTCTCTGTGAACCTGATATATCTCATTTCCAGGCATATATTTTTGAAATGTTGGATTTCTCAAAACGATGCTGACTGTCCTTTTAAACTTACCACTCCATCAATGATAGTTCCATCCAAACAAGTACCTGTTTCGTACGCTCACGCATACCGTGTACACGTGCGCGCACGCACACACTGCGTATGACATGCTTCATCTGTCCGACTGCGCAGATGTTATGACGTCCGAAACATTCTACTAACATGGCTGTGCAGCATGAGGCAGCATCCAGCAAAGTCCCTCGCGCAGTAGTTCAACGATTCCTTAGATGATAATCTCGATTATCAGCAGCCGCTTTCATCTGAACGTAAATAATAACTTCAAACGAATTCAATACTTACTTGGGTTCGTGAATTTATGAATGATAATATTTTGGTCACAAATCAAAAACTTTATTAAAAATACCTTTATTTTCGCCTTTGTATACATTTTCATTTAATCACATAATATTTATATGCACCTTCCTTATGATATATATATACCCGGTGCATAATTCGGTTCCTCGTGCCCGAAATGAAGAAAATCAATGGAGCACTCAAGATACAGTAACTCTAAATTAAATAAACTCTGGAATGATTGAATGATTGTACAACGAAACCAAATTAAATAACCTCGTGAATAATTTTCCAATCCCCTCTCCCCCACCCCGCTCCCCCCATCACCACCCCCACTCCCATAGTCGGATCAATGGGAGTATGTAAGAGCCATTGATAAAAATAACAATGAATGGAAGACCAGAAATAGATTTCCAATTGAACAATCATACCATGAAATGTGTAGGAGGTGGGGAAATTGATCCCAATCAATCAATCAATCAAAGTTTTTTGGTGGCAAAACTACATTTTGGGACGGTACAAATACCATTATCCAGCTCACTCGGAGAGTCGTCCTCGGTTCCAGCTTAATTTCATCGAAACTCTAAATGCTGACAAATCGTCTATTAATGAATAGAATTTGTGTTAAGAGTAATCGTCTTCACGCTAAAGCGACCCATTGTCCGTCTGTTTAAGATTCCCGATCACCTCGGTCGTCTGCTCGCCGTTAAACCATCGTCAAGTACAAGCAATGTTGTATTTGTCTTCTTGATTATCACCCACGACTGTTCGGACACAGTTAACCTTTCCAGACAAGTATCAGTTATGTTTCCTTTGAAAACAAAGCCCCACGGTATATAATTTTGCCAAACCAGTTACGTCGGTGAAACATAATTTGTCTGGTTAGCACTAAGACCATTGGTGATGCATGGTATTTGGATAACATGGGATGGAGACAGCTCATTAGCGCCAACGTTGTGTAGCTGTTGTAATGTTATATGGCGGACTGTTAAAATGAAGTTCTGACTGGAGAACTTTTGCAAAGTGTTAGGTGTATCGGACGTGTCACTAACCCCTGATTGTCTTCCGTGTCCGTTGAATACAGTGGAGAAAATGCTGTTGTTATGCCATGTTGTTTATCTCTGGAGATTCTTGGTACCTGTGCGTTCTCAATATATCATATATAAGCTATTTGTAATGAATGTTTACTAACAATCTGTCCAGCTGTTATTGAGTTCATGTAACCAAAGAAACATACATCATTTGAAAGTATAAGTCAATGATACAGAAAAGGAAAACGCGCCGGTATCCATGTAGCATCGTAGTCATGGGTCCGGATTGCAATTATAGGTCGACAATACAGTCTATTTGACATATAGTCCCCAAGAGTTTCACATGAAGTAATGAGACTTCTAAAACAAATGAATAAACAGGTTTTATCGCCTACAGGTACTATCCCTACAGTATTGTCAGCACATATAATTGCACTTCAGGAAAAATAGGCACCATTAAAAAAACACATTGAAATAGTGGTTATTGTTAAAATGTTCTACTGGAGGACTGGGGTCAATGTTTGAGTGAACTTATCACCGGGTGAACGGAAGCCACCGCTGGGGCAGGATACCCTCACCTTATCGCGAACACCTGGTATCATCATTATTTGATAGTGATTCATAAACATATGATCATGATATTGACGTCGGAATCGTACAGTTGACTCTGTTTGGGGCAGAACTGTCTTATGGATATGGAAAGGGTTTTGCCACTTTTATTTATTGTCACTAAAAGGGAATAAATACTAATAATTAAAGTGATTGGTGGCAGGTATTGTCAACGTCTGATGGCAATAGAGAGTACTATCCTATCCATTTTTTAACTTACAATAATTATCTTAGATATCAGTTGTCATGGTCATACATTTGGAGGAAGAACCTTCTGAGTATAAAGTATCTATTTTGCATTCCAACCAACTACGGACACCGAAAAGCATGCCTCAGTGTTGACTATGTAATATAACTGTGTTCCAAATGTCCTTCATAAGCCATTACTTGTACATTGAAAAACGCTGTGAAGGCGGTCGTCGTCTCAGACGACTAGGTTGCAAACAGGACTCCGTTACACGACTGTGAGCACGAACATTCCATGGACTCCATGGAAGACTACCCGTTTCGTCTTCTGGCGGTACAACATGGCTTGGAACTGCAGCAGAATAGATCGATGTCTGCTGTGGCAGCCTAGGTTGTCCCGTTTTATGTCTAGCCTTTGGTGACTCCTTTATGTCTTTCTAATGTTTCACGGTATGCATATAGATTTGACATTGTTGACAACGACAATAATTTCCACCGACCATAGCATGAGTACTTATTTGGTTGTTTCATTTCAGATACTATTAGCTGTGTCCCCTGTTATCATAAGCGGTCAACTTGAAAAGCAGATTGGCAGTAAACGAAGTGTGATACTTACGTCTATATTATTGCAAGAAAGGTAAGTAAAGATCAGGTTACGTATCTAGATGCATTTTCCCTTTTAGTCGAAATAATTGACGTATTCATTTTACAAGCAAGGGAGGGAGGGTTATTGAATAAAATGAGAAAATATACCAATCTATCATTTCTATCCTATAGTAAGCAACCTTCGTTGGTATATTTCTATATTTTTAGGGACATTTCATTTAAATCTATTCTTTTTGCCACATACCTTCAGACACACAGAGTGTAAAGGTAACGCAATATGGGAATGAACATAAGCAACCGTGCGCAAAGCTGATAAGACAAAGACGTCTCTTTAACTCGGTAGCCATCAGCATTTATTAACTAAATGCACCTGCTAAAAATAGCCCGGGGGGATTAAGCAGATATGCTCATTACATCCGCAATGCATATTGGCATTTTGTGTAATGACAAATACGAGACCAAAATAGGTAGCATTGTTGTGATCGTAAAAATTGATTCCTGCCAAGTTCCTTTAAGAATGGCGGTATGAGTACGGACAATTTGAATAACAAAAGACCAATTTGAAAACAGAACATGCATCTGTGTTTGCAGGAAAAACATATCAAAACAGGTTCATCCAAAGTGTCCTCGTGACAGATAATGAAAGAACAACTAAAGAAAATGACACACATCCATATTTTATGCAAGGTCTATGAACAACGAGAGATATAAGATTGGAAATTCTCATTGCAGCAGGTGGGGTTTCTTGTAAGTCGCACCCTTTTCTTTTTTCGGTCATTTGATAGCACTTACTGGTGCCCTTTCTGTGGTCTTATTTTACTTTTATGTCAGACAAACCTTCTATTCTGGTATATTCCTGGACACCATGTCATTTTATTAAGTTGCGGACGGTCCCCTGTATCTATTTTGGCTGCTTGTTCACATGTTTGCCGGTACGGCAGTACATCACTGCTTTTATCTGGTCATTCCTGCAGGATAAATGGCGAGTAACACACCAGTATGGAAGTAAGTAACCCCCATGCACCTGCCCAATAAGAGGGATGTTCAAGTAATTGCCAATTCCGATAAAATACGACGGCTAGTAGTCAGCCATTTGAGCATAGCGGCTGCGATTGAGAAAACCCATGCAAGCCAAGTATAGCTGATTAGATTTAACGAAATATTTGGGAAGTTTATTATTCCATTCTGTTATTTGAGGAGAAGAAAGATACGCTTTTAGACACCTCCGGTGTATAATGTCTTTACTACTGAACAGATCATACGGATCTCTCGTGAATCTGTCGTTGAGTGGAGTCCTCCCAGAAGGATGGATATTTAGGTGTCGCTTTCGACCAGACGCCAGAGTCCACAATATCATCATTTCAAGATATCGATTCATGCTGTTCGCGAAGGATGTTTAAGGGAGTTTGTATATTAATACGGACATCAGGAACGACATCTTTGAATAACCAGTTTCTGTTGTCATTTTCTTGTCATATCTGATGACATTGAGAAACAGTTCACCTTGGTTATGTTTCTGGCATTCTGTTAATACGTCTTTCATCACTAAGGCTTACATTTGTTATCACCATTAATTATGACAAGGACTGTTGTTCTTGCTTTATCTCAATATCTCTCCACCAGTGAATCTTCAAAGATGAAACTTAATGTATGAAATGTGCATGCAATATACGCAGTGGCCATTATATTTCTACCTTGCACTTACATTTACTCCTTTGGTAAGAAGATTTTAAGTGTATCTATCGGCAGAGTGAAATGTATGTTTCACGACATCTTCGGTACTGCAAGACAACAAAAAAGGTCTACTTAAGTACGTATTAAAGATTTGCTACAATGCTTATATAACCTTTGATCTTCAAGATCGTCTACCGCTTTTGTTTGTATCACGTCTCATTGCAGTCTGTTGCCTAATATAGCCCCTTTACAATGGTTCTGGCAGACAGATTAGAACAATAATTGCTGTCTAGTTTCATAAACGCTACATGCCTCAAAGTATACCCCGTAGTGTATCATTAGTCTAGCGTCATAGCATATGTTATCTTTTATTATAGGTTTAGTGGTAGTGGTCTTAAGTTTATATGAAAGGTCATATCGAACTGTTTCTTATCATTGACTCTTTGAGTCTCGCTGGTTTCCTCAGCAGGGAAATGGGGCTGATCTCAATAAGGGGGGAAAGAGTACCTCAAAACAACCTGCATGGAATGAGAGAGGAAATCAAATTGAAGCTACTAGAACACACACAAACATGGCTTTTTGTAATAGGAAGAATGTGAGATCACAGGTTCTAATGATATGAACGAAGGTAACGGTGGGCGAATACTTATATGTTACATCCAAAAATCGTTATCCTATCAAATACTTTCTGTAAAATAATCCGTATTACCGTTATGAAAATATGTACTAACCCCTTGTAAAATATCATCTTATACACAATGCTACCAACCCATATCTGTCACATTTGAGATGTGGTCCAAATTGATCTGCATGAACAGTTCCTACAAACAGGTTTGTAGAGGAGTTGCATGCAATATTAATTAATGTCTCCCATTACGATCACTTCAGTGAAATATTTACTTGGCTGGAAATAAAACAAACACTTACACTGTTATCGTACATATTAGAGGTGCTTGTCACAAGAATCTTTTAATCATGGGACAGTGCTTAAAATGTACCAAAGGGTCAACCATAAACAGTGTCTAGTGTTATATTATTGATTTCTTTATTCATATGAATGTTCCGTGACCTTCATGAAAAAAATACCTCCATTATAAGAAAAAGGTTTAATGTGGCCGTAATATGTAAAGTGTGTTAATTCGTTTCTCACAAAATGAGCCTGTTACACCTTGGCGCCCACAGCAGTTTATCTAACCAAATCAGGCTTTATCTGACAACTGAACTGAATTCATAGATGTTAGTTTTCATCTATTATCTCTTTAACCATTGGAAGTGATGGCTTGGGATGTTTATCTTTGATGAAGCTCACCGAGACTGAGTTCAAAGCCCCGTGAGAGTGATACCGCAGAAGCAGCGTTACCGGATCCATGTTGAAACCGGCTTGGTCGTGAATCTTTTATGGTAAGCGCGCACGGTTGAAAAGCGAGCGTTAGAAAAGTCCCATAGATCACATAGAAGCGAATAGTTGTGCTCTGAAACATCAAATATATAGACGTAATAAAGCATATCTTTCAATAGGTGAGAATCAAATGTGTCCATGAATTTCTCTCTGTATAAGGTTACAGATACTGTTTCAGTATAAAAGATATCCCTCTGTCCTGTCATTATCGGCCCACGAGTAGCACAAGAGTTTAGAATTTAAGAATTAATATATAAGTTCTTTCACGATAATCATTTTAATCTTCATGAATATGGGAGTATTGATACGCTTTAGAAATATAAACATACAATAGACTTATTTCAGATGTTCATATCTATATTTGGTTTTTAACGATGTGCAATTCGAGGAACTAGACGACTTTGATGTAGGATCTCATTGAAATATCTCATTACTGAAGATTATAAACGTCAATTGCATCCCCTGGCGTATGACGTCGACGAACCAATATTTGATGGCGTTTCAGAAATATATTTAGTTTCTGCATCTATCATTAGTCCTATTAATATTAATGTCCTTGGTTGTCCCATGAAGAAATAGACAGATAAAAGAAATTGCCGTATACGCCCAACATGAAAGAGCAAAAATGGTTGTTTCCGCCTTTATAATCTAACATACTCCTGTGACGTGACGAAATACTGTTTCCACCTGCGACAAGCTTACGCCCCAGACGATATTGTGATAATGTACGCTAGTTGCCCACACGCTTATGATTAGTTTGATATGACAGTACTAACATTTAAACACAAAATAATATTCTTTTCACCGTGGCCGTTTTATTGCGTTTTCTTTAAAACCACAGGTGTACGATTATTCAAAGACATGTAGTCGGTGACAGAGCGACCAAGATGGTAAGATTTTGTGATTATCTGAAGTCGCACGCGACCTCGCGGTGTTAATTTCTTTGAATTATGCCTTTTTATTCGAGACAATCGCTTCTCAGGTAATCGATTAAATACAGCTTCGGGCATAGTTATATAAACAGTTTCCGTAAATACTGATTGTTTCGGAGTTATTCCCGAGATCCCGACCATGAGCGACAACGCTTCATTCATGTTCCGTACATGTTCATGCATGTACGACAAATAAGATAGAATGTAAAACGAGCCATGACATGGCATGCGATACACAGAACACGATATACAATACACAGAACATGACCTGCAATAAACAGAACATGACATGCAATACACAGAACACGACATGCAATACTTAGAAAACGACATACAATACACGGAACACAACATGCAATACACATATAGCGACATGCAATAAAATGCATAACATGACGTGAATTACACAGAACATGACGTACAGTACACAGAACATGACGTACAGTACACAGAACATGACGTACAGTACACAGAACATGACATGCAATAAACAGAACATGACATGCAATAAGCAAAACATGACATGCAATACACAGAAAATGACATGCAATACACGGAACACGACATGCAATACACAGAACACGACATGCAATACACAGAACACGATAAACAATACACAGAACATGACCTGCAATAAACAGAACATGACATGCAATACACAGAACATGACTTGCAATGCACATAATTTGACGTTCAATACATAGAATATGACATGCAAAAAACAGAACATGACATGCAATAAACAGGACACGACATGCAATACACATCACATTACGGTGAATAAAAATAAAACATTATATGCAATACACAGAACACGACATGCAATACACATATCATTACCTGCAATAAAAACAGAACATTATTTGTAATACACAGAACATGACATGCAATACACTGAATACGACATGCAATAAACAGAACATGACATGCAATACACAGAACACGACATGCGATAGACAGAAAACGACACGCAATACTCGGAACATGACATGCAATACACAGAAAACGACACGCAATACTCGGAAC